CCCTACACTACTGTGCTGATAGTCTGCTCTCCAGACTGCAGTCTGACCTTTTGGCATTTCCAAGGTTGAGTGGGAGGAAAGAAGGAACTAGAACTTAGGGAAGCCAGAATGACAGATCTCATCTGTAGTATGCTGGGCATGCAGTGGTTTCTCCTACTTCTGCTACCATACTCCTTAAATTTCTGTCAGGCTGTGAGATCACCTTATGGGGAAAAAACAAAGGGTTAACTTTTCTCTCAAATTTCATTTTTCTTAAATGGTTTTAAATTCAAGTGACAAGGAGATTCATGAATGTGTATACAGACTTCTGAATTTTAAGGGCTTTTCACTGACAGTGTGCCCACAATCCTTTACTGTTCTGCTTCTTACAATGGATGAATTTTGTTTTTCATTGCTATTGTTAAGCTCTTATGGTGGAGTGGCTGCTATATTACACTTTTAATGTATTTCATATTCATGATACCTGAACCAGCTCAAAGATGGAAAATCCATTTTTAAATGTGCTAAAAAGACACTTGAGCTGCTAATAGTACAGAAAATTGTTGGGGTTTTAATACACTGGAGTCATTTTGGATGGAATTGCCAGCCTAAATGGATAGCAAGATCTTACTTCCTTTTAAAATAATTTGCTAGTGCAATACTCATTTCAGTTGGTTTTAGATTTGATGAGAACACTCTGAAGCCATGTGACGTGCTAGTATCTTAGTTGGTCTATGTTGGTATAGGAGGACCTTTACAGAGGCAAAGGAAGGACAACTGAAGCAAGACTCGATTGTGGAATATATGCCCTCAAGAACAAAGAAGAAAAATAATTACAGAGTACTTCTAAGCTGTGGGTTTGGATTTTGCAGGAGGGATGTTCTTTAAGCTGTACTAGGAACTTACTACTAATGACTGTTTTTTGCTGGCTCTTGAACAAGGAGTGGTAGACAGGTCACTTTTGGCTTGGTAAACCAACAGTGTGAATTTTAGAAGACTTAATTGCTTTCTTAAGTTTGCAGCAAAGTAACAATGTTGCTTTATTACTGACAGATCTAATCCTGGGAATCAAATCAGATATTGGATGCTTTTTATGAAAGAAGGCTGAATAGAGTGAGATCCTGTTGTTCTGTAAAAAAAAAAAAAAAACAGCTCTTAGTAGCTACTGGTGAAAATTGCATCATTCTGGATACTACTGCTGTTTCAGTAGGCTGGTAAATACAATTTAGAAAAAGGTGTGGCTTTGCTTAGCTATCTTGACTCTGAAGATGTATGCTCTCTTCAAACCCTGTAGGAATTATTTATGTTAATCACTTGGTTGCAGTGTACTTCTCCTAGCCTTTCAGTGACCTTAGCTAATGAGGCCCTCCAAGACAGGAAAGAACAAAGAGAAATTCTGAAGGAGCAAGGGCAAAGGTGGTGTTGCCCGAGGGTTTTTTATGTCTTCCTTTTTGTAGCATGTGCATTTAGCTTCTATACCCAAAGGAGCTTTTTTCCCCCAATATTAGATCTTCCTTTGCCATATTTTCCCCATACTGCTTGCTTTCTTCACACTTGTCTGAATGCCCTTCAGCAAACTGCTTCCAGTTATCATGAGAAAAACTATCTGTAATTCTAATGAGTTTATAATCTTGGTTTTGGCATCAACACTATACAAGCAAACAACATAAAAAGGATATAGGAATACGTTGACCAGTCCGTTGGCTTCTTTCCTACTCATGTCACTGTACCTTCCTGTTCTTCTTTAAAAAGCATCTTTTAAATCATTAGACTTTCTGGTTTGGGGAGTATTCTTTGGCTTTTGGATGCTCAATCATAATGATAAACTTTATCTGAAAACTATCTCTTCTGGCAGGTAAATTTGAAGAAAAAGAAGATAAAGTTCCAAAGTTGGAGCACTTAAATAATCTGGCATACATGTGCAATGTGAATGTGGTATTGAACAAGAAAGATTTGCTTAGAATGGAAATGCTGCTTTTGGAAAACTTCAACTGGAACCTCTGTCTACCAACACCAGCACACTACATTGACTACTACCTCTATGCATCCATTGGTGAGAATGACCTTCACAACGGCTGGCCAGTCACCTCATGGACCAAAATCAAAGTTTTTCTGGAGAAATACGTGTATTATTTCCTTTATTTGTCAGTGCAAGGTAAGAGACTTAGTTTTATGCTAGAATGATGTTCCATTTGGCAAAAGGCAAAAATCTGAAAGAGTTAAGGGCTTTAAAACTTGTCATAATACGGATTGTACAAAGTTATCTGTGCAGAATGGTTTCTCTTTGCAGTTATTTCAGAGGGCAAATGGTACAGTGTCCTTTCCTTGCATATAAGCCTCTTGTCTTTTCTGAAATCTCCAGATGAGATAGATTTTTTTTTTTTCTTCAGCTTAGAATATTAATTGGAGATACTGTCAGAAATGGGGTCTAATGTTTGGTCTGCCACAGAGTATGAACTAGTGTCAGCTGTAGACATGGTGTTATGCAGTTCAGTGTATGAATCTTTTTAAACTATTTTTTTTTTGAGGGTCACGTGCTGCAAGACATGACATGTTTAGAATGATGAGACTTCTAGTGTTCTGGTTTGCAGCATCACTTCCAGTATCTGCCCACATGAGAGGCAATGAACTTGCAGCATCCTCCTAAGCTGGTTTCAACGCTAACATAAATACGTGTGTGATTGCCAGTACCTAATTTGGTTCAGTTAAGACCAGTATACAAATTTCAGCATAGTCTACTTCGTGGCTTTTTCTGAAATGAAACTATAGTGAAGCCTTGATAGTAGTTACAAACAAGTAGTAGAGCGATCTCCAGGAAAGATTCACCCAGTTTTTGAGCGATTCAAGCAGTTTTTCTGGTCATGAGTTAATACTCTGAGATGCGTGGAACAAAGTTGAGGATTTAATTTTGTCCTGTTTTGCCAAGTATACGCAACAGGCTCTCTGCAGTGATGAGTAAGAGTATAATCCTTGATTTTAATTTCTTTCGTAGATCATGCTTTCCTCCATTTTCGTCCATCTCTGATTGCTGCAGCTTGTGTGTGTGCCTCACGTATCTGTATGCAGATTTCTCCTGCCTGGACAACACAGCTTGAATTGCTGACATGTTATTCCTGGGAACATCTTGCCCAGTGCATTGAAATGATGCTCATGTAAGATCAGAAAGAATGTAACCTGCTTGTGCTCTTAGGAAGATGTTAATACTCTCTTTTCTTATGATTTTTTCTTTTTTTTTTTAAGTAATTGTTTAGCTATAATTATACAGTAATAGAGTACAGTATTACATTGGTAATCTCCATCTTCAGTTTGGGGAGAGGGAAAAATCAGATCACTTTACTAAATGCTGTATTTTAACAGCATTTGCATTGTGGAATGGAGTGCACAATTTAGTGTTCATTATGTTTTCCTGTACTGGTTGCTCATGTGATTGGATGGAAGCTTTTAGAAATGGTTGATGAAAGCTTTTTTCCCTTTGTTTTCGTGTTGTACCTGCAATACACTGATGTCTCTGTGCAGCAAGTGTATCTCTAACATCAAGAATACGGTAGGGAGATGTTTTTTCTCTAGTAAAGGACATGAGTGCGATGCATCAGTACTGGTTGAGTATGTGAACACATAAAATTTTAACAGAAAATAAAACAAGTTTAATAGAATGATTTAGGTTAGGAGTGATGGTGGACCTTGGAGGTAACTTCTGAATGCCTACTTAAAGCAGGGTCAACTGAAGCTAAATCAGACTGCTTAGGGTGTTGTCTAGTCAAGTTTTGACTGCCTCCAAGGACAGAGCCTTCCATACTTCTCTGAGCAACTTGTTCAATGCTTCATCGTTCTCATGATAATGAAAAGTGTGAAAATATTTCTTCCTAATATCTAACAGGAATTCCCCTTGTCCCTTATAGCTATGTGCTTTAATACTCTGCAAATACTTACACAGACTATTTTAAAGTGTCTTTTTGTTCCAAGATAACCAGTCCATCAGAAAAAACATACTTGTGATGCAAAATGATTCATAAACCTGTTGTTAGTGTGTGAAGATCACAGTGGGATAATTAGAAATTAATTGTGAAAACAACCGAGGGTTACCATAAACAGCTAGGGCCAAAAAGCTGATGACGCCTGACTGGTGAAAACTTTGGGATACGTGCAAGCTCAGAGAACAACTCTCTTTGATATTTTTTTTTTTTTATAATTTGTTTCAGATATTATGAGAATGACATCAAAGAGGCCAGTAACATAAAAAAGCAAGTAACGATTCAACATCAAGAACAGGGAGCAGTGGGAAATCTGAGCCATCAAGCCACCACTCAGGTTCTCTTCCAGCAATCTAGTTATCACCCTTTAGCCCAGCATTCAGCTACGCTTTCCCAGTTCCAGTCGCCAGTGCAAGATTTGTGCTCTGCTTATCGAGACTCCTTACAGGCCCAGAGGCACAGCAGCCTGCTTGCTGGGAGTGCTGACAGCTCGTTGCACTCCTACACAGCTCTTCAGGACAGCCTTCGGCCACCTGCCCAGGCTCTACCCATCCAAATGCCCATTGCTGTGCAGGTGGCCTTAGGAACAGAGCCCAGGCACTGCATTTCCACGGCTTATGACAGTAGTTACTTCAGTGGCCATCACTCATATGCAGCTGGGTGTTTTGACGGATAAATATGGGCAGGAGAAGACGACGATATGAAGAGAAGCTGATGAAGAGAACTCTGTGTGCGATACAAGATGTGTATCTGAATGAAAACCACAAAGGAACAGAATCCTTATGGCTTGCTCGTTCAGAGGATGTTGATCTGGATCCACTGATCACTGGAATCTGGGTGCCTTTCTGCCAAGGGTTGTACCTTTGGCTCTTAATGAGAGAGACAAATAAAAATTCATTAATATACCTCACTCATGGCCACCTTGAGAGGCATTGGCACAGAAACCCTGAAGATTACTTCCTTCTAGTCTTCAGTTAGTGACTTGTCAGAGTTGGCTGAAAGCGTGTATTGAAGAGTTATTTCAGGCTGGACTGTTTGTTGAATTTCTGGCCAAGTAGCAATGTACCTAGAGGATGTTGTTAGAAAATATGGGAGTGCTCTCCTTCTCTGCCAGTGACCTGTTGCTTGAACAGTGCCAGCTTATAGTACTGGAAGCTTCTACTAAAATATACTGAAATTGGTATCAGTTAGATGTGAACCTTTTTTATGCAGAAATCTGTGTAGAACACTTTTGGTTTTCTTTGAGCAGGGGTAATAGTTCAGAAGTAAGACTTTAGAAGCAAAGAAAAAAAAAAGAAAAAACAGGCCAGAAGACTATCAAGATCATTTTTGACTTAAAATTCTCTTGGAATCTAAATGTTGTGCTGCTTAACAGGACATCACTCTGCCTTCAAGTATTTTGGAAACAAAAACCAAAACCTTAATTCATCTCTTGGATCTTTAACATGCTGCTGCTTTTGAGACTGGAGATTGTTGTTAGTAAAATTGTTCATGAGCTTTATCAGGGATTTAATGTTACTTGAAGAAATCCTTTTGGAAAAACTCTTGAAATAACTGAAGGCAGTGAACCTTCCATCTCGGGCTCAATAACTTGTGGCAGTAGTGCAGGCTCAGGATAGAAACTGGTGTTAATGGGGGCAAAGATAGGGAACTGGTTAACTTTACTGTGAAATTAAGAGTTTAACTCTAGTGCTACACAATGCTGACTTCTGTTGTTAAGTACCATCTTGGCATTCTCTTGGAAAATGTAGCTGGTAAATGGAAGATCCTGTTGTTTCTTTGCAGTGAGACACACACCTACTGCCACATATCCAAAGGTTTCTTTTTCAACTGAAACCAGAGATGATGGTTCAAATAAACTGTATAGGCTTTTTTTTTAAGTGTTAATGTAGATATTTACAAGAAATGGACTTGTGCAAATGTGAAACTTTAGTTTTGATGTATGCAACCACTATTGTAAATTTCTTTGCAGGCAGTACTCTTGGTTTGTCTTTTCTCTGAAGGTTCTCAGGACAGCAATGCAAGTAATGTGCAATATGCTTTTACTGACTTGGGGCAATTTTTTCAAGTCGTGTCATAGTGCTGTTTTAAATTATATTTTTAGAGAATTGTTTTTAAGGGTGTTTTAGGGTGGAGGGAAAAAATTAGCCTGCATGCTAATGCAAGCTGTGTAACTGTCATCCGAGAATGCAACCTTTGGTATGAAGTTAATTTCTTCATTCAGCAGGCTAGAGGAATATTCTTGGTTTATTTAAAAAAAAAAAGCAAACTGTAAATGAAGGGACAGTACTCTTCAGAAATTAGTCTAGAAGTTTAGAGAACTTAGTTCATCTTTTATTCTGTTGGCTTTATATTTATGTTTCACTTTATTTTCAGAAGACTTCAGTGAATTTTTTGTCATTCACCAGACATAAAGAACAACATATACATGGCACTACTGTTGTGTGGTTTTTCTTTATCACCCTTATAATTTGTGTCATGTGCAGTGTGATACTTTGGACTGCCATCGTGCTTAATTGTGAAAATACTTGCTAAGTTCGCAGTGAAAGTTTCCAATACAATAAACAAGGACAGTTGAAGTACGGTCTTTTTTTTTTTAGTAGTTTCTCTTTGGCTTTTAAGAGCTAACGAAGAAAATATATCTATACCCTAAAAATACTTGATCTGAGTACTTATAATGTTTTACAGAATAGAAGAGTGGTAGGACAAATGTGATGGGAAGGCCTTGCCAAATAATATATTATGAAGCATTAGGCAGATCAGGAGCTTGGCCACTGCACAAGAAATAAGGTCCTATTCCAATAAAGTGTTGGTGTATAGAAGGAAGTACAAAGTGAGATGACAAGATGGCTGAAGAAACAGGCAGAAAACGTGCAGAAGCAAGGTAGGGACATAAAATAATACAAGAATGGATTTTTCCAGCTTGCATGGCCAGTGTGGCTTGGGGGTGCCGTCTTACCTGAGGAGATTGAAAGGCTGAATAAGAGAACATGGTTGTACATTCAGTCTTTCTTCTGGCGACTATCTTCTAAGCAGGACTTGTCCATTGAGTTCTAGGTTCTGTTTGTGCCATTGTGTCATGGGTGGAGTTGGGGCAGATTAAGTCCAATAGCAGACTCTGAAAAGGAAAAGATTTACGACAATTTGAGTTGGCGTAATACTGCTTTGATTGATGGTTCTCTCCAGAATGCTTTAAACGTTGGTGGCAGTTCCACACATTTAATTTCTAGGTATGTACTTCATGTGACTGTCATTTATTTTTTCTTTTCTGAAAACATACCTCCTCAGCAACAGCTAATACGGAAGAGTTCAGCCAATCTAAAGACGCTTTTCTGAAGACTTTTTGCCACAGTTACTTTTGGAGGGAGCCACAGAGGTGCATGTAAAGCTGAGTTAATTTTTAAACAAATAGATGCAAAACTTCCCACCCTGTGCTTGTGCTGTTTGATGCTGTCAGTTACAGAATAGTCATAGATCAGAATTTTTACATGCTGATTAACTCATACTTCCCTGGAAGACTTTGAAATAAGAAAGGCTGCTGCGAAAGCAAATGCAGCAGAGCATGGCTAGGAATACAAGATGGGGTATACCTGGCACTAATTACCGCCTCACATGGGAGGACGTTGCAGATAAAACCAAATATATGAGAAAGCTGATATGAAAATTAAAAAAGCTGTATTAGTGAGTTCTGACAAGAGCTGCAGCAGGGATACAGGTGGAAAAAAAGTCTGCTAGTGTTGATCAGGCATCAAAGGTTAAAATGAACTAAAAAAAAAAAAATCTTACAGCTGCAGCCTCCTTTTTTAAACCAGAAAGGGAAACTACTATCATCTCCCTGTTTGTGAGAAAGCCACAACTTCGGTGTTCGCAAAGTTGTCAAAGCCACTGTTTGATTCTTTGGTTTTAGCAAGGGGTGTGTTTTAATGCTGTCTGTTCTGTCATTTCAAGGCAACCCTAAAGAATGTCCTTGAGTTGAAAAGGCAGCAATGCCTTTTTCCTATCTGAAAGCATCCCTTACAGGCTTCTAGAGAGCCTAGATAGAAGTCCCACCATTCTTTTCAAAGCATTGTTGTCTATATAATGGGAAGTTACTTGATCACATGCAGGATGTGAAAACAAAAAAATGTGCCAGTTACACAACACTAAATGTGGTTGCTTCCAGAACTGGGATTAGTGGTGGCTGGTTCCGTTTTGTTTTCAAAGCAGGGAATCACAAGGTATCGGCATAATCTTCAGGGCAGGTTCTTGGTGGTATGCATGGCTCATCCCTTAGTTCTAGTATGAGCTTTAGTTTCATGTAACACTTGCTCAGTGTTTACTTGTATCTAACTCTACAGGTCATTCTGTGTAGTTGGTTAAATGTTGAATATGATGGGCACATTCTAGATCTAAAGGTTCTAGGATGGCACATTATTATTTGCAGAGGAATGTACTAGCTGACTTGAACTGACCTGAGGAGTAAGCCTGAAGAGATCCTTATTTACTTCTCAGTATGACCTCAGATAACTGAAGAGGCTGAATTTCAACAAAATTCTGTTAAAAGTAGTAGATCTGTTTGTTGCAAGTACCAAAAGAATGTCTCAAGATTGAACAGGTTTCAGATTTGACTTGTGTTTTTCTAATTAGAGTTCAGCATTATGCTTCGCCTTGGACACAGTAAGTAATACTTTGAGCAACAGCTGCTCGTAAGACATGCAGTCTGTTTTGGGTAAACCGATGGAGCCTGAATGAACACTTATTGCAGCTGGAAAGTTTAGTATAATCTCTCTTGAGAAAAAACATAAAAAGTAATTAATAGCCTTTTATAATGCAAGGTACCTGAAACTATTTTGATTATTAGTCATGTATATAGGCCTATCAGAAAATGAACTTTTGTGTACACAAGACACATGCCATGTCTAGTTATTGATTAGCCTGCGAGGGCCAGTAGCTAGGTGGATCCAGAAGGCAAGATAGCTGGAAAAAGGAGTCTGAAAAGGGAACTGCTTTGTGGATTGGGTATTGGCCAGAAGTGATTTGGAACAGTGAATCCAAAACCTGTAATATTTAACTCCTACTGTGTTCAGAAAACAGGTTTTCACATACACTCTACGTAAATAACAGGATTGTACTGAGAAAACAAGACACTCGCAAGTTTTCCTGCAGGAGTGAGTCTGTAAAACCTTAAATGTCCTCTAAGAATTTGAGTCAGGAGGAGATACTGATGAGACTGAGAAAACCATGATGGCAAGTATGAAACCATATCTTTTCATGAGCGATAAGCTGACTTTCCCTTCTTTTCAAGCCCCTAAATTTCTGCCTTCTGACCAACAATAAGGCAAAAGACTTTCATGAGGTCTTGCATTTTGATGTATGCTTTGGGCAGAGTGTTGTCCTGTTCTCTAGACAGAAGCTGAACAACATAGCTTCTGTTAAGTAGGTGGTAGAAAACTTTTGAATATGCTAAGTATGTATCATATCTTGAAATACTTTGACTGGAGCAGGATCGTTAAGTGCTTTGTTGCATCTTCCAATTTTTGTGTTCTGATTTTTCTGAGTATTTGTTAGATCTTTAGGAATGGGGCGAGCACTAATGTTGAGGATAACATCACTCTGAAAAACAATTCTTCATGTTTGTAATGTGAAGAAAGATGGAGGAAAACACAATCAGCACTCTGTTTTATTTATTTGTATCATTGTATTTCAGTGCACTGGAAGAGACTGGCTTTACTGCCTTAAGCAACCCTTTTGCTGATCCTCTTGTAGACCACACCAGAGGTAGTAGAAATCTGGAATAAAGAACAAACCAAAAATTTGGTTGAACAGTGTAATTAGAGCCTCAGTCTCACAAATGGAAAGACCTCCTGACTGGCCCACAGAACTTGTCCTTTACTGAAGCAACATTTAGCCTTTAGTAGAAGCCATACCTAGAAAATAAGCTGAATGTCCTTGTCAGCAATAAAATACACAGCACAAAAATATTCTTACACAAGCACAACTTCTAAACAGGTGTTTAGGGATAACTTAAATGTATCCTGCATTAGATGTGGCTTTACTAACTCCAAGTTACCAGGGTTTTAGACAAGTGAGATAATTATTCTCCAAAAGCAATAAATGATTGACACTATTATTTCAGGGAGGGTGAGTGTCATTTCTTGATTCACAGAGTGAGTAACTTCCGGTTAGTCCCAGTTGAAGATGCACTCAGACATACATAACTGACGTAAGTCAATTCAGGAAAAGTTTTGAGACTCAGAAATCCTGATGTTTGATAATCTTATTTGTTTTACAAGTTTTACTGTAAGTATTGTAGTTTCAGTAATCTTCCAAAACTATGTTGCCGTTTTGTGGAGAAAATAAGATACTACTTGAAATCTAACCTCTTTGGTTTTGGTTTTGGTTTGTTTGTTTTTTGTTTTTTTTTTTCCCCTTTGGTAAGATTAAGGAAATATAATTCTACAGATATTCTTGCAGCTAGATAGTTTTCTAAGAATAAAAGTTTATTAACTTTATAGAAACATGTTAGTAGGTGAAAAGTTTTATATGTATATTATTTTCTATTCTTGAGGCATAGGCACAGTGAATAAAGTCAAAGACCTGGCAAGTTGGGAGTATTTCAGTCTCAATATTCCAGTCTTACAGCTATAAAACTGTGTCTGTGCCTAAGATGCAAGATCTACATTTCAAATTTATCAAAATATATGATGAAAAGTTTGTACACTGAATTTTTTGATTAAGCCTGCACAAAACTGTAGAAGATTATCTAGAGTGGAGAAAGTTACTTAATAGTTTTGCTTTACTTTAGATAAAGTTTTTTTTCTAGACTCAATTTTAAGCCTGCTGCTCTAGAGGTTTGATTTTGTTCTTTTTTAATAAGCTAATCTGAATATTTGAGAACTCACCTCTACTAGCTTTCCTCCAGAAATCTCTGCAGTATGATGATAGTTGGGAGAATCAGCTACTAATTTCCCACCTTCCATTTTAACAGTTACCTGTAATAGAGCAAGGTTTAACGAGTAATAGAGAAAGGTTTAATATTCCCTGGAGTTACTGGCATTTATATTATCAGATACACTGTAAACATCTGTACACCTGATGCTTAAAATTTTTTACCTTTAAAAAAGTAGGAGTTGTGTATTACACATGCAGCTTCATGAACAAGACTAAAATCCTTGTGCTTTAGTTAAGTGTTTACAATTTAAATAGAAAAACGTTCATCTAACAAAACATACAAGTTCCATATTTACACAATAAGTCAGACAATATTCCTTCATAGCTCTTAAAAATGATGTGACTACAGACTATGCCTCTTTTTCAGTTCTTAGTGTTTTATGTGGTTCTCTTGTTTTGACAGTGAAGTAAAAGGCATGATTGCATGAGTTAATTTTGAAGTAGCGTTCTCAGATACTAATAAAAAGTCACTGTGGACAAGTGATGTGAATCTTTACCCAGATCCTGAGTTTCATACCTCCAACTCCACTAGAATTCATCTCGCTCACCTGCTTCTGTATGAAAGTAGTATGCCAGGATGCCACTATGAAGATCGCAAATACTAAAGCTGCTGAGCTGACTGCCAAACTAGATATCACATGTGATCACATAATCAGTCTTGTCTGTACAACTAGTCAGTCTTGCCTATGCTTTTAGTAATAAACAGATAAGCCAATCATATTTAGAAGAGAAAAAAGTAATTTGCAAAATGAGGAGATGAGTAGATATTTTTTACCAGATGGAAGGAAACATCTTACTAGTTTATGTACTGTTTAGTGACGCTATGGTAAAGGCAGTGGCTTCTCTGCTGACAGCCATTCACTCTGCCTAAATCTTTGGCTGCTTGATAGGCTTTGGACTGCTGAAGTGCTCAGGGCCAAAAAGAAGAGAATGGAGTTTGTAATATTTCAAAATTGTGAAGTTTGCAATAAATTGACTAAGTAGAATTGTGTCTTGTTCTATCTATTAGGTTTCACAAAGATTTCTCAAAGCCAAAGACGTGGGTTATTTCCTCTCATAATCGGAAAGGTATGACTAAAAAAGCATTCTGGAAATCATGCAATGCTGTTGCTATTCTCAGTTTGTCAAAGCTCTCTGATGCAATTGCTTGTTTTCCTGTCCCTTCAATACATATAAACCATTTATCCAGTAATCTGGTTTAGGGTTCTGGACACCTGAATGTAGAGTTTAGCTGTCCCAAACTGTCTTATCCCTTTAAATAGACGAGAAATGAATAAGGTGAGTAGAGCAACCACTTCACAGCAGGTTTTGTATCAAGATTTTGTCCATGACAGGAGCAGATCAATATCATGTAATCTTTCCTTCTTGCTAGAGGCTGCACAAGTTGCTCTGTCCTTCCAACAAGGAGGAGGACGCAGAGGATTTCCCCCCCCGCCTTTCACTTTACAGTGTTTGGTTTAAGGCTCGGGCACAGGTGACTTCAAAAGGTGAGTACTGGTGCCAGGCTTGGGCAGAGCTAGGGATCACAGCAATCCCTCAGACTGTGCTGCAGTTGCTGTATGGCACTCAGTAATGACACGCTGCTAAGCAGCTCTGTAGAGTTTTAACAAGCGTTATGTTTGCTTGAGCTGCGACATCAGTAGATGCTTGACACTCTGCCCTCGTTCTTCATTAGTACATACAGTTCTGAAGCTCTACCTCTCTTTAAAATCAGACTTAGATATTTTGCTAGGGGCATCAAGAAATGGGGGAAAAATTTTCTTCTTCATCTGTCATAGCTTAGAAACGTAGAATTTAAGGAAGATGTCCCTGAGACAGATTTGATTTTCACCCTAAGTTAAAAAAAATAACTGAGACAGCATAGAACTTGAGAGCTAAATTAATTTACCTTGAACTTTTTACCACCGATTGTCTCCATGTCTGCTTCCTTGCCAATTGTGAATGTATTGGTCGTGCTGCGGCCTCCTGGGAAATGTTGCGTCCAGGTGAAGTCATTTCCATTCTGTACCACTTCAGTGACTATTTTGCAATTCCTTCCCAGTTCAATCTTGTCACTGGGAAGACCTTAATCAATAGAAACATACAGTTTATAAAATCTAATAGCCTACCAGCTGTATTTGAATTGTAGCATGCTATTGGTATGTTTGTTCTCAGATGTTGATATCTGACCATCTGACTTTTGGTTTTGGTTGGTTTTTTTTTTTACAGCAGCATCAAAGCTCTGAGTTTAAACTACTGGTATGAAGGAAGATACAGGTACAACAATGCATTTGCTAAAATACTAAGTTTTGGTCTTGCATACTTTTCCCTGAGAAACGATACGCAGAATAAACGCTTAGATACAAACTACATATAAATATTCCCTTCTACTTCATCTACACATGCAGATGTGTGGAATTTAATGCATATGAACTTGTGCCTTTGCTGTATAGCTGCACATACCTATTTAGTATTTTGCCATTGCTTTTTAAAAAATGAACGCAGCACTGAGCTTATGCGCACAGATCATACTGTCTCTGAGAGCTTTTACAGGGTAATCTCTGAAACAGGTTTGCCCAGTCTTCTGAAAGCATTTACAGAAACCTGTTCTTGTATAGGTTTTTGACAAACGTTCTCATACTAAATTTGTACTCCCACTGATGAATACTAAGGGCAGAAAAAGTTATCATCATGATCTTTATACTGCAGGCATCTCGGCCCTTCATTCTGCTGCACTGAAATGGAATACTACTTCTGTAAAACAGAACTATTTCCTGTGGCTGACAGTGCTGCTTACAACAATGAAAACGGAATCCGCTTGCTGAAGCGCAGAGCACTCCTACCGGTCTTAGCCCCTGTTGATCTTAGTGCATTTCAGTAAACCCCCCCCCTTTTTTTTTTTCTTAAAAGTATTTTTAACTAATTTATAATCTTTAAGACTTACACCCCAAGAGATACTTACCAATCTTCTGCACAAAATTATCATAGTTCTCATCACCTTCAAATTCATATTTGCCTGCGAATGCCATGTTGCCCTGGTGATGTGGCTGGTAGAGCAGAACAGCAGCTGGAACAAAGAAGAATGGATAAGTGCAGATGGCTTGAGGCCCTCGTTTTTATAAACCAGCCCAAGCTGTTCAACCCAGCAATAACCACACCCGTTAGAAATATACTTTTATTATCTATGTGAGTCACTAGCATGGATGCCATTGACCTGTATGAAAAGATTATAATTCAATTATACATTCTTGACAATAATCTGGAGATCAGCAGAAATCAAGGACAAAAGCTTGGTTCTGGTTTTAGTGCATATTTAAACAAAGTTTAATTTTAATTTTCATTTTTACTTTGATGATTTATGGTAAAATATGTCATAATGAAACAGGGAGAAAACAGCTGCAAAGCAGTGTCCTGAGATCACAGCCTTGCCCTATTTGGAATCATACCCTATATTGGTTAAAATACAAAAATAAGAAACAAGCTGCAGAGATTCCTAAGTAATTCTGGTAGAATATGGGCAATGACAAGATTCCAGATAAATTACTGCACCTGCACGTCTTACCTTATCTCCACACAGAGAAAAAAAAAAAAAGAAATATTTTGCCCTACTTGGATGTAAAGTACATCAGATTAGTACGTAGCACCATGTTCCCATACTTTATTTAATACTAAGAGACAAAGAGTGCTTTGTATTGCATAGCAAATGTTTCTACAAAGTACAAAAAATACACTTATTTTGGAAAAGCAGAGCTCTGATTTAAGTAAGATAGCCATATGTTAAAAGTCAGGGACTGCTGGGTAATTTAGAATGCATACAGGAGATGATGTCCTATGTCTAATGAATCCATTGCCACATGCAGATAGCAGGGTAGGAAATTCCCAGCTGCTGTGTATTGGCATAGCTCCACTGGCTGAGGATATAGACCAACAATTTTTAATCTGAACAAAAACATTCCTAGGATTTATGTGAAAATGGTGTCATAGATTAAAATTTTATTTTATTAAAGTGATAAATTTGGGAACTGAAAATCTACTTTTACCTGATTTTATAGAAATCCAGAGAGATATATAGCAGCGTTCAACAAGTTTTGCTGTATGCAAAGTGGCTTCTATTTCTTAAATGCTATTAATATAATGTCACATGCTACTGCAAGAACACGTCTAGTGTCAAGCAACTGATCAGAAGAACAACAGGAACATAGGCTAGGTGTTTAAAAACATGGAAAACAAAGTTCCACTAAATTTCACCACTGCTCTCCTTGATATACGTTCAAATTAATGTATTCTATATAACCATTTCTGTATTTCTAATTAATGGACCTCTCCATACTCCACTGTCAGAGAATGAGACAAATGTCAGTAATGAGATGAAACTTCAGTAAAACGTTCAATATCATAAATCATGGCATATCATTACTGTAAAACTCTTAGAACAAATTAGAAGCATTGCCACATCTAACAGTTTTATTAACAGTAACATTGATCTTTGAATTCACAGAGTCACTTGTACACTCCCTGTGCTCTAAATCCTGCATGTTGGAGAGCACAGTATAAGTCTGCAAGCTGTTCTACTGAGCTGAGACAGAATAGTGTCTCTTAGCGAATCCTGCCTCCTATGTGTCCTCTCTCGTATGGTCACATACTGGCTGTGTCAATATAGCCTCACAGATTTGGGACTGGATTCAGATTATGTCATACCAGCATCAAATTCAGGAGGAGTCAGAAATAAGACAGCCTGTACCCAGCATAGCAGTGCACACAATAACTCCTTAAATCATTATTTGTCAGGGGATTTAAGGTTTTATTAAATATATTTGCTATGTATACATATATATTTAATGGCATATTACTTATCAGAGTATGTTGTAACTCAGTGAAAAAAATCCTCTCTAATTTGTATTAATTTTTTAGTTTACTTACTAAGCTGATTTCTTTTATGCAAAGCCTTTGCTGTCCGTATGTTATACAGTCTTCAAACCAGTTACAGAATATGCAGGGTGGATGAGGTTTGAACAGGAAAACATTTCCTGTCTTAGGAAAATTTTTGCAGTTTCAAAACTTTTCCTTACAGGGGAAAAATGAGAGGGATTCTGGAATAACACACTGACTGATGAGTGAAAACTCTGAATCAGGCGAGAAGGGGACTTCTAATGGAAAAGAATTTTCTGACCAGAAAAAGCTTCAGAAAATTCCAAGTCAGTTTTGTGAGAGATAATACCTGTGGATTGGAAAAGAGCTTACCTCATGTTTATTTGTTGTGAATTTATAGTATTTCTGTTTGGGTTTTTGGTTTGTGGGGTTTTTTTTGTTTGTTTGTTTTTAACCTACTTCCTCTTTTAAGTCTGAGAGAAAGTAACTTCAAAAATCGTACATCATCTTATGAAAGAAAACATAAAACTTTCAAATGGAGATGCGGGTTTTGAAGTTGACAACAATCCCTTTAAAACTATTTGTTTGGGTGTATGTTACTGGCGGGAAGGCAGTTTTCTAGAAGAGATGCAGAAAGTGAGTAAGAGTGAAGCATAACAAAATCATGGTCAATTTGTAAAATAAAAATGGAACAAATGTCCTGGGAATTACTGCTTTCCCTCCCCTAACCCTTCACTCTTCCCATATTTACTCAGCTTTAAATTGTACCATGCTGTGCAGTGGCTGACTATATTGTGCTGGAGTTCATGACACCACAAAAGCCATAACATCTGCTGTCTGCATGCAATTAAAAGGATGTCTCCGTACTTGAAATAGAAGGGAGCCATATACCTTCACTCTGTGAACGTTCTCTGTGTCCTGTGATTGGCATTCAAAACACAGGAGTGTGGGAGAAAAGTACAAAACTGGAGTTTCTCTATCAATTACAAATACATAAGATTCAGGGAAGGAAGAGAGAAACCTGTTTCACTGGCAGTGTTTCCTTTGCGCTTTGGATTTAGAAGTGTCTGTAAAATGATTTGACTGTCCTTAGTTGTTTAATTAAAACTCCTTCAGCTTAATCCCAAGATTGCTGAACTCAATGACCAATTGTGCAGGAGCAGACAACTGAAAAGGACACTTTCTTTATCAGCTGGACTCAGATGCTTAGGCTCTATCTAAGTAAAGAAAAACAGCACTAGCATGGAAAACAATGAAGTGGTTGCACATACATAGAAGCCTTATTGCTATGGTAAAGCTAAGCAGATACCAGTTAAGCTACAACAGTGCAAACTCTATGCCATTAATAGAGGCAAAACCCCTAGCAGTTTCAATTATACACAGATTCAAAAATTCTGTTTAGAGGAAAGTATCATCAAGCCTATTTCATACATGAGAAGGCTGAAAACACTGAGAAAAAGTGACCTATCAGAGCCTATGATATAGTGAATGATGACACAGCCAGTAAGAAATCCTAAATCCAGGCATTAACCCAGTGTCCACAGGATGGCACATTAATTTAAACATTCTTAAGACAAATAAGCCCTTAGAAGTAAATGACCAGAGCTCTGAGCGACCATTTACGTTTGAACAGTCACCCAGGGAGTTTTACACTTGCTCCACTGATGGGCTGTGAGAATCTTTACAGCTGCTTAGCACAACTGGCTGAGCAAATCCCTAGTTAAGATTCTTGCCATCTCCATGTGGCTCTGAGTATACTGAAAGATAACCAGTGTTCAGCCCCAACTGTGCTTTTGGAGAGTGGGTGACTGGCGAGACGGTCCTCAGGTTGGCTGAGAACTGAAGGCCTCTGTTTCAGAGAGCACAACTCTGAAGAAGGTAAATGAACTCAAGCCATAAACTCTTCTGTTTACATAAAACTTATTGGAGGGCAATGCCACTGGCATAGTAACACCACATGGACCTTGGAAGAGAGATCAATCTGGACAGGAAAAATGCCACAGTTCTGTGAAAAGGGAAAAAGATAATCAGATTATATGAACAGTACTTGAGCTTTTATATTCTCTCTCTCTCAAATTATATTGATAGCTTTCTTGCAATGTGATACAAAAATGCTGACATCACACAACTATACAATACTTGGAGCTTGCCTGCAGTGGGAATGTGGTGGGTATGGAGCCAGTGTGTAGTATAGTAAATTACCAATGAATAACTATTTGACTGGGTGAGTCACTCACCACACACTAAGCAAGAGTTTATTCACCTTCAAGGGGTTGTATGCTACGCTGTACACAGGAGTTCCAGACCAGGTTACAAAGATCCACCCAAACAATAAAGGTAAAGTTACAGAGTGCTCATAAATGTGCTTGCTCTGCCTGGCTGCTCAGGATCAGAATCAGTTTAGAACAAGTTTTGAGCAAACGTGCTATCATCTGTACCTGTTTGTTCAAAAGAGTTTTTAATGTGCATTGTGAATTTGCACCCATGTTTCTGCTCACTTATTCTGAAATAAATCCTTATTTTCATTCCTGCCTTTTTTTTTTTGTTACAAAATGCACTGAAATTCAAGAATGTATTGGGGAATGAAGAATTCCATTAAGTAGTCTTCCAAATACTGAGTCAGGATAACATTTATTCCAAGAATAAAGGAACGGAGGCCCTCTGACTTCTCTGAAGTTATGGTCACTTGCACAATTGCTAAGGTTACTCATCCAAGTCTCTATCTCTTCAGTTTCAGCTAAACCAGTACCCGTTCAATGACCTTGCACTTTGCATTTACAATATTCATATTTTCCTGCATCTTCAGAGCTGTGAGCATGTGATGTTGCTTTTGCATACCTCTACAGCAGTGCTTCATGCTTGGTGGGCTGGGCACTAAACTCAATGGTGCAGAGCACTCCAGAATTATCCAGTAGAAAAAAGAATAACACAAAATTATCTATGTCTATATACACATGTATTTTAAACACATTATGTGTATTTAATCCATTTCAACTACTACAGTATAGAGCCTGCACACTGCTGCAAACAACCTTGGTTACGTTACACTTCTGCTTAACAGAGCTCAGTTCAAATCCAAGGGAATTAACAGCTATAACTGAGACCAGTGGAAAAATAAAAGATATTTCCCTGGTAAAGGTGAGAATCGTAACAGAAAAGCTAAAGAATAAAAAGACTGAGGTGTGAAAGCTGAA